CTCCAGCCAGGCAGAGCCAGCTCCAGCCAGGCAGAGCCAGCTCCAGCGAGTCAGTTGATGGTATTAAGCATCCTTAGCCACTTTTTTTTTTAAGATTTATTTATTTTATGTACATGCACACACTGTAGCTGTCCTGAGACACACCAGCAGAGGGCATCGGATCCCATTACAGATGGTTGCAAGTCACCATGTGGTTGCTGGGAATTGAACTCACTCGGGAGCTTTGGAAGAGCAGTCGGTGCTCTTAACATCTCTCCAGCCCCTTAGCTACTCTTAAAGAAGGTAGTTGAATGACTCTAAGCTGAGGTCAACAGGCCTGCCGAAGGACCAGGGTCTGAGCTGGGGGCCGGGGTCAGCATGGCAGGCCCGCACTGTTCTCTACATGACTGGATGACACCTAGACTCATCTTGGGTCTCTCAAGCCAAGATGACTTTTACATTTTTCTTTTCCTTTTGGATTTTGTAGATGGGATTCTTGTATTGATCTCCTGATCGTTCTGTATCCACCTCCTAAGTGCCGGTGGTGGCTACACCACCCTCGGTTTACGTGGGCGCAGAAGATCCAACCAAGGGACTTACCGATGCCAGGAGATTTCCTCATCTTCATCTCCCCAAAGTACATTTTGTATTTATTTCTAATGTTTTGGTTTTTTTAAAGACAGGCTCTGCCGGGCGGTGGTGGCGCACGCCTTTAATCCCAGCACTTGGGAGGCAGAGGCAGGTGGATTTCTGAGTTTGAGGCCAGCCTGGTCTACAGAGTGAGTTCCAGGACAGCCAGGACTATACAGAGAAACCCTGTCTCAAAAACTCAAAAAAAAAAAAAAAAGAAAGAAAAAAAAATTGTATTAGTGTTTTGCCCACATGCTTTGTGTCTGTGCACTGTGTGAATGTCTGGCCCCTCGGAGGCCTTTAGAGAGTGTTGGTGCCCTGGAGCCAGATTTACAGGCAGTTGTGAGCCGCCATGAACCCAGGTCCTCTGGGAGAGCAGCCAGTGATCCTGACCACTGAGCCATTGCTCCAGCTTCAGACTTCATTCCTGAAATCTGTCATTTTGTATGCTAAATTAAAATTTTAACTGGAGGTTAGAGAAATGGCTCATGATTAAAAGCACTGGCTGTTCTTGCAGAGGATCTGAGTTTAACTCCCAGTGTAACAGGTCCTAAGACCTTAGCACAACTGACTCCATGATGGAAGTGTCATTCAGGCTGTAAAGTCAGCACATAGACCACACCACCTGACAAAACTAAAGCACAGAGTCTATAGTTAGGGGAAAGCTTCTAAAAGTACTAACCTGTTTTTTAGCTTTTGTTGTCTGACTAACTGTTCCTGCTAACTGAGGTATATCACCTCAGGATGTGGTTTTGTGCTTAGGCTCCAGGCTATACTGGGGTCTACACACACAGAGACTACAGTGCTGTCACTGGGCCATGAAACCTGTCTGAGTCTTCTTCTCTGGTGGGTCCTCCATAACACCAGAAGCATACGGCAGCTCACAGCTCCTGTAACGTTAGCTCCAGCGGATCCAATGGTGTCTCCTGCCTTTTTAGCACTTCAGGCACATGTGTTGCATAGACACACACACAGGCACACAACTCATACCTGATGTTTTAAATGTTTTTTTTGTTTGTTTGTTTTGTTTTTTGAGACAGGGTTTCTCTGTGTAGTCCTAGCTGTCCTGGAACTCATTCTGTAGACCAGGCTGGCCTCGAACTCAGAAATCCACCTGCCTCTGCCTCCTAAGTGCTGGGATTAAAGGCGTGCGCAACCACCGCCCGGCTAAAATGTTTTCAAGACAGAGTTTCTCCGTGTAGCCCTGGCTGTCCTGGAACTCACTCCGTGGACCAAGCTGGCCCCGAACTCACAGAGATTCTCCTGCCTCTGCCTCCTGAGTGCTGGAATTAAAGACACGTGCCACCAAGTCCAGTGTAATAAGTAAATCTTTACACTTTTAGAAATGTATGGTAAGGTCAGTTGACACCACTCTGCTATGAAGGGGCCTTCCAGAACACGATTCTCAGGGAGCATGAGCAAGACACAGGACACTCAGCACATGGTTGGCTCTGGGAGGTCCCTGGAGTCCGTAGAGCCCTCAAGACAAGAAGTGGGTGGGTGCTGGGGAAGGGTAGGGTCAGTGTCAGGCCAGCAGAGTTCCAGTGTACGCAGACGGCATGCTGGAGCTGGATGGTGGGACAGCTGCACACTCCCTCCGTCCTAACCTAAGGGTGACCAGTGACAGGATGGTAGATGGCACCAGTCTGTCTTGTTAGAGGCCCCATGGGACAGAGTCTTTGTCTACTGAAACTGCTCTAGCAAGTGGCCACTGTAGACAGCATCTCGGTGTGTCTAGGCAACAGGACAAACCAACAACATTCACTGACAAGCCCTTAGTCTCATCTGGGATGACAGTGACATGGCTAGCCTTGGGCACGGGCTGTGAGTCAGGAGATGCAGAGAGCTGAGCACGGCAGGATAACTGGTGATCTGGGTCAGATGCCTGAGTTGTGGCTGGGCCACAGGCCTGTCACATACTGAGACCAAGACTACAGCAGGCATCAGTGCCTGACCACACAGAGACGTTGCCAAGAACCCAAAGGACACTGTGTGGAGGTTGGGTGGAGGGGCATGGAGGTGACAGAGCCTGCCTGACTCTGTGTCCTCAGGCAACTGGATGCTAGGGAAGGCTGTAAGTTGGTGCTCCAATGGCCTTGCCTTCTCCTGAGACATGTTTGGGACAGTGTCCCTGTAAGTAACCCAGGGTGAACAAAGCAGTGGTCACATGAACATCTGGGAACATCGGCATGTACCCCAGGTGACCTTTGGGTCATCAGAGGGGCCACCTAAAACACTGGACATACACTGTGTGCCAAGGCCAGCTCCAGCCAGTAAAAGCCAGGCCAGGTGCCCTTTCTGCAGCCTGGGTATCAGTCCAGAAAAGAAGTGTGGAGGGACATTGAACCCAGGCTGCTCAGTGACAAGACCAGACAGAAAAGGACTCAGTGTAGGACTCCATGACAGGAAATGCCCAGCGGAGGCAAATCCAGACTCAGGGTGCCATGTCCACTGAGGAGGTGAGGGAATAGGATGGTCATGTCCCTTTGCCCAGGGTTGCACCTGGGCCTTCTGGCACAGGTCATTGTCACCTCATTGATTGAACACAGGCGTACCTTCAAACGAAGACCTACAAAACCTTGGATCTTGGGAAAGGCAGTGCCTGTTGTATTACTTAGTTGAAGTAGATCACTGCCCGCGCCGGCGAAAGCAGCAGTGTCTCTCAAGGATGGGCACAGGTCATCTCTGTCCCATACCTGGGGCACTAGTGTCTCTTGTGCATCACACTTCTCCTTAACTTGTCTGACACTAAAAAAAAAAAAAAAAAGTTTTTTTCCCTCTGCTCTGGCTACTAATCCCAAGGCCAGAGAAGCCGAGGACGGACCAAGCCTGGCATCTGCGGCCCTCTCCTCCCTTAGCCGGCATCGCCCTCTATGGACGAGAAGCAGCACTGCACGGGACACCTGTGGGCGCTGCCTCAGCCCACGGAGCCAGAGATGCCTTCAACAGCTGCTCCAGCGTGGCACAGGGCAAGCTTGTAACCCTACACCCTGGGAGGCCGAAGCAGGCAGATCGGCAGGAACTATTAGTCAGTGAGGCTTGTGTCACACCACCCGGAGGGGCTACGCAGGAGATTACTCTAAACAAAGTTGCTCGTATGTTAGCTCTACAACCATAATACAAACATGGAGAGAGACTGACACGGTTGTCAAAACTGTATGCTCTTCATTTAAAACAGAGGGGTTGGGGGACTGGTCAGGAGTGAGCTCCCCCCCAACCCCCCAAATTCCCAAGAGAGTGGCTGGGAGCTTGGCTCAGGGGTGGAGCCCCACCTTGAATCCCCCCACCAATGAGGAGGCTGGGGGCGTGGTCAGAGGTAAAAGGAGGAGAGTTGTCCTTTGATCTCCACAACACATGCGACAACAGGAAAACCCCATCTCAAGAGAAAGAATTGCCAGTTCTACACCGAGTCTACGTCTATAGTTTCTTTCCTGTTATCTTGTAGTATTTGGGCCCTTTGTGGTCGGACAGGCTGTTATCAAAGCTTGTCACCAGACCATTGTTCAGGGTGGGAGTTGGCCAGAAACAAGGAGCAGCCCGCGTTATGGAGGACTTTATTATTAGCTGGCATGGAGGTGGGAGGGAGGCAGGCAGATCCGCCAAGTCTTGCGGGTGAGAGATACATTCAGTTAAGCCTTGAGGGCGGGCCCTGGGTGTTTCCAGGACAGGGTATTAGGTGCAGTGACTTCTGGAAGGACCCAGGGGTGTCTCTTAGGCTCTGGACTCAGGCATTGGTGTGATAATGTGTTAACTGCACACATTCAGTTCAGTGGCAGCCTCTGGAAAAATAACCAGAGTTCCTCCGGGTCTTTACAGTGCAGGGGTCTCAGAGAAGGGCCAAGAGGCTCAAAAGCTGGAGCTGGGGACAGTCACATCTTGCTACACCCTTCATGGCACGGCAGAGAGGGCCTGCTGGAGTTTGGTCCTGTGGTCCATAGGGGCCTCACAACACACTAAGTTTTGCTACACAATAGGCTGCCACTGAAGAAAGAAAGGTCCCTGTTACCACCACCTTCCAGGAACTGCAGATCCCAGGGTAGAAGCCAGAAATGAATTCATTGCTGGATTCCAGGATGAACTGTTCTCCGGAGGGCGGACACTAGAAACTGGTTAAAAGTAATCTCAAAAATCTCCAGATGTGCTGTTGGCTGGCACTTGGGAGACAGAGGCAAGTGGATCTGTGAGTTCAAAGCCAGCCTGGTCTACAGAATAAGTTCCACGACAGCCAGGGGTACATAGTAAGAGCCTGTATCAAACCAAAACCAAAACCAAAACCAAAAATATTTCTGAATGGACTGGGCTTGGTGTCTTACATCTTTAACTGAGCACTTGGGATGCAGAGGCAGGAGGATCTCTGTGAGTTCCAGACCAGTTTCAAAACCCTGTTTTAAAAACAAAACCAACAATGTAAAACAGAGAAAGGAAATGGAACTAGCCGCCCTCACAATAGAGCCAGTCTGTGTGTGTGTTACAGCAGCTGCCTGCCAGGGTGGACCATGGCTGCCTGATTCTCACTCCGTCCCTGGGCACCCTATGTCTGGCTCTCCAGGGCTCCTCCACAGGTGTGGGGGTCACATGTGTACTCATGATCATGTAACAAATACTTCTCCACTGTGCAGACTTTGTTTTGTTTTGTTTTTTTGAGACAGGATCTCTCTATGTAGCCCTGGCTGTCCTAGACTTGCTCTGTAGACCAGGCTGGTCTCAATCCCAGACATCCACCTGCCTCTGCCTCCTGAGCCCTGGGATTAAAGGCGTGTGCCAACCCACCTGCTGCTTTACATTTTTTTTTAAGACAATCTTGTTATGGGACCCTGACTGGCCTGACCCTCATTGTGGAGGTCAGGGGGTCTCAAGTTGTTGCAGTCATCTTTGCAGCTGCCTGGAGAGTTCTGGGATCACAGGCTTGCAGTGCATGTACCCTTCCAGACCTACACCCGATAATGGGAGTCTCGCCCTGGGGTGCTGGGCAAGGGAAGCCATGGCACATTAGTGCATCTTTGGAGGTACGCTGGCTGCCTGTGTGGTCACCCACATGCCATGCGGCTGTAAACAGAGACCTGGTGGCACCTCCCTTCCAGGTTGGCACAGGTAAGGGTAAAGAGCCCTGGAGAAGGGACATTGGGTTAGCAATGGCTCCAGATCCTACCTCTTGTCAGAGGCCACAGTACAAACCCAGTGTAAACCCAGTGGCTGAAAGCACAGTGTCCAGAATTCAAGTCCAGCCCCTGGATGGCGGCAAGGGGCCGGGTTTGAGTCAGAGGGCTCACAGTCACCACGAGAGGGCAGAAGCCATGGTCTTGCTGTTCCTCAGACATCGGGATGAGGGTGTGATGCTCCTGAGACACAGGCTGTCTCCGCAAGTCTCGGTGGCCTGGAGAGGCCCTCAGTGACACATCCGTGATGTCATCTCCTTCTGTGGAGACCAGGCAGGTGTCAGAAAACAGAAGGCCCATGGGGCTCACACAGGGGAAAAGAGATCGAGCAAAGGCCTTGCACAACCCAAGACATGGCGGACACTAACAGTGGGCAGGGGTGAGGCAGCTCCCTGTGACGGTCAGAGCCTGTGCCGCTGACTGGGGGGACGTGCTGTGGTTAAGTCCATCTGACGCCTGGTCCTGGGCCACAGCTCAGTGCTACTTAATAGAAAGGCCAGCAGAGGGAAGAGCGCAAGCTTCTATCTGTGGGAGCCAGGAACACTGGTGACGTCTGTCATGTTATAGCTCAGGAGGTAGGGGCAGGAGGATCACGAGTTCAAGGCCAGCCTAGGCTTCATGAGATTCTGTCTTAAAACAACTACAAAAGCAGGCTGTAGGGCTGACAAGATGGCTCAGGGAATAAAGGTGCTTGCAGCCAAACCTGACTACCTGGGTTTGAGCCCCAGTTTCCACAGGATAGAAGAACTGACTTGCAAGTTGTCCTGTGACCTTCAGGTGCATGCCACATCAGCCATGTTCACAAACAGAAATACACAACACAGAAAAACAAAAATGTAATACAATTCAAAGTTAAAAAGAAAAGGCAGGAGGTTGGAGACACGGCTCGGCCTGAGCATGGCTGCTCTGCAGCAGGCCAGGCTTCTGTGGCCAAAACCCACACAGAGGCTCAGAGTCTGCTGTTTCTGAGGATCTCACGCCCCCTCCTGGCCACAGTGACACTGTACACAAGTGTGCAGACAGACATGCAGGGAACACCTTACATAGAAAATCAAAATGAGCCGGGCGGTGGTGGCGCACGCCTTTAGTCCCAGCACTTGGGAGGCAGAGGCAGGTGGATTTCTGAGTTCAAGGCCAGCCTGGTCTATAGAGTGAGTTCCAGGACAGCCAGGACTACACAGAGATACCCTGGCCTTACAAAACAAATAAACAAACAGATAAGTCTTTTTATAAGAAAAAAAAAAAAAGACAACCATTTTAAAGCAGACTGTGGCCAGGCACGATGGTACAGACCTATGATCCAAGCATGTGGGAGGCTGAGGCGGGAGGGAGGATCACCTCAGGTTCTAGTGTGGACTATGTGGTGAATCATAGGCCAGTCTAGGTTACAGAATGGAAAAGGATAAAATCAGAAAAAAATCAATGAATGAATGAATGAATGGATGGATGGATCATTATGCCCTTGTTCTCTAGGAGCTGGAGCACGGGCCACCTGTCCTGGGTGCTGCTGTCTGGAAATTCAGAGGTGCTCAGGGAGCTGCAGGCCAGTGCCCCAATCATGGTCTGTTCTGAACCCACTGTGAGCCACATGGGATGGGATGACCAACCTGGCACCCTCTCTGGTCTAGTGAGCTAGAACATGAGGAGAGAGGGCACGCAGGACAGGCTGTGCGGGAGATGCCTGCCATTAGTACGTGTGCCTCACTAGCACGGGGAGCAGAGACCCTGTGGGCACCAGGCCCTGTGCCTTCTCACACAGGGAAGGCCTCAGCTAGAGTCAGGACATCCTGTCTCCTCACCTGTGTGACCCAATGCTAAGAACGCCCTCTGGCTGCTGGCCCAGAACAAAGTCCAGCAGAGTAGTGGTGGCCTGGATCCCACCCAGCAGGAGAATGGTGCCCTGACCCCAGCTCACCAGGGGCTCCAACTCTTTGGGGTCAATGAGGCCGAACTCCGTGACGAAGTAGTAGAAGTGCTTGTAGCAGGTGTTCACGTGCGCCTCAGAGCCCATCTGCGCTATGCGGTCAAAGTGGTGTATGTACACGTGCACGAACACACGGAACAGCCGCGACAGGATCTTGCGCACTGCCTGCAGGAAGGTCTTGGGAAATGGCGTACCTGGAGGTGGGCAGAGGGACCAGGGAGGAAACCTGTCAGGGCCAGTCGGCCTGAAACTGCTGCCCCCACCTCAGCCCAGGTAGCCTAGCCTGAGATGAGCTCCACAGTGAGCCACAGAGAACGGGTGAGAACGGGTGAGGGTCAGAGAGCTCACGGGACATGCTCGAGGGTCACACAGCCAATGTCTGGGAGCCAGTTGCCTGCCAATCCAAGTATCAGCTTTCATGGACCGCGCCTAGTTTTTGCCTGGGGAGCCTTCCTCTCTGGGATGAGGGCCCCAGCTCATTCTGAGCACCTGCCCTTTCCAGAGCACCAGGAAGTCTCCCAGGCCCGGCAGCTGCCACTCTGTTACTGCCCCCCCTCCTGGGGTTCTATATAGTCCTGAGGACACCAACCACACAGCAGTGAATATATGACTTTATGTGTCCACAAGGACAGCCAAGGCAGCCAGTGTCACTGGATGTCCCCAGGCCCAGAGCTATAGAAAGAGTAGGTGGGCAGGCTAAGCTTCTAGGACAGTGGTTCTTAACCTGTGGCTCTGGACCCCTTTGGGGGCCACATGTCAGATATCCCACCCATGTTCTGATTCATAACAGCAGAACACGACAGTTATGAAGTCTCCACAGAAGAGCCCAATGGCTGAGGCCAGCACACACGGGCAACTGGAGGAAAGACTGCAGCCTTAGGAAGGCTAAAGCACTGAGCTAGAAAGAGCACTATACCCTGGTCCCCAAAATCCAGAGCATGTCCTCTCCAGTGACAGAACGGAGTCCATAGGTGGCCTCAAGGGGAGGACCTTCAGTGGGGTTATCCAGGGGTCAGTGTCTCCGCAGGGTGCTTGGAGGGAGGCAGGAGGGTGTCAGGCAGGAGGCTGGGAATGCTGTTACCAGCTCTGAGCACAGAGCCTAGCATGCTGTGTGCTACACACACAGATTCACATACATATAAAATAACACACACATACACACACCAAGAAGACAGAGGAGCCCATCTGGCCCTTTGTGCTCAGTGTGTGCTCAGCAGACATGGGGTCCTGGGGCGGCTGAGCCCCTCCTGGTGTGAGTAGGCAGGGGTGTGTCCCTGACTCACCAACATTAGTGGGGAAGAGGCCCTCGTTGTTGATCTGCACCTCGATCCAGTCCATAAGCAGGTCCATGTAGCGGGGCGCGGACAGCGCCGTGGGCTTCCGGAAGCGCTGCTCATCCTGCCAGCGGTACTCGTACTTGGGGCCCCCGGACATGACTGGGCACGACTGCTCAGTGCAGCCTTCGCTGATGGTGCCGTAGATGAGGTTGACGCGGTTGAAGAAGTCCACCACATGCACGGCCACCCAGTCGTTGAGCTCCTCACCCGGCGGCAGCTGCACCGCCAGCCGCAGGTCCAGCCCTGCATTCAGAGACGCCTGCGCACGCTTGTGTAGCTCGAAGCGCTGCGTGCCGGGCTCGAACTTGCGTTTGGGCCTGAAAGTCTTGTCCTTGTTGAACACTTGCTTCAGGAATGGGTTTGACATCTTAGTGGCACCTGACTCTCAGAACAGGCAGCAGAGATGACGACGGTGGCCTGTGCTGCAGGTCCCCAGAGGCCTGAAACCGGAAAGGACGGCGTTAGTGCTGGGCTGCCATCTCAGCATCAGTAGGCTGAGGCAGGAGGATCACAATTTTACTCCAGTCTGGGCCACACAGGAACAACTAGTCTCAATATACAAATAGCCAGGAGGCTAGGCATAACACACACTGGGGTTATAATCCCAGGAGACTGAGGCAGAAGGATTGCCCCAAATTCCAGATGAGACTGGGCTGCAGGGTAAGGACTTGGGACCTGTGTAAGCATAGGGACTTTTCTGAGCTGTTCTAGAAACAAACACAATGCTTGCAGACTTCTGGCAGGAAACGGCTTCACCAGAAGAGGCAGGTTCCTAGGAGCCACTTGGTCACATCCAACAAAATGATGGCCCTCAGGTGGCTGTGTTCTCCAGAGTCCTGACACAAACCAGGGACTGCTCTGACAGCTGCTTCAGGAAACATGGGGGAGCACATGGAGTGACAAAAACAGGTGGTGCTGCCTGCTTCGGGAAATGCCCAGGTCCCCAGCACCTCAGGATGTGATTCATGTGAACAGAGGTTCTGTACAGACTGGAAGATGAGTCCTGACGTGAGGTTGCCCAGGATTAGACGGGCAGCCATTCATTCAATGATCGAGTCTTTTCTTCTGAGAGTTCGGGACAGAACCTAGACTTCAGCCAAGTCAGCGTGCCTCGCCCTCTGCCAGGGAGGACCCGCTGCACCGTGCTCCCTGAGTCAGCGTGCCTCGCCCTCTGCCAGGGAGGACCCGCTGCACCACTGCTCCCTGAGATGGACCAGGCCATATGGGAAGGGCAACTAGAGTTGGACCTTGCGGTGTAGCCATGAGATGAAACAAGGGTGCTTGGGAAAGCAGAGAGACAGAGCAGACAGAAGGGGAAGTTGGGATGGGGAGGGGCATGTGGTGTGGGCTAGCCCCTCCCAGCATAGGCAGCCCCACCTCACTCAGGATAGTAACTTGTGTGTCTTACACACAAGGTTTCACATAGCCCAGGATGGCCTCCAAGTCACTATGTAGCAGAGGATGTCCTTAAGTGTCCTACCCTCTGGCCTCCAGGTCGCACTTAACGCTCACTACACTCTCATCAACCTCAGCACTTCTGCTTTTGTCTTACATAGTTTGTGGCCACCATGTTGTGCCTGCAGGGCCTCTCAGGGAGAGTAGACAGAACTGAAGTCACACCTCCACCCAGAGCTATGCTGGTCCTGACTACAGAGCCCAGCTTTAGCCCACAGGACAACGGATGGCCAAGAGAGAGACACAGAGTCTGGGTATCTACATATGGGCTACAACTAAGACTCGCACAGGAGGAAGAGTCCAACAGACAGACAGCTAAGTGTGGTGGGACCAGATAAAAAGGGACACGGCATGGAACTTCGTGACGGGAAATATGGCGACGTGAGGGCTGGTATCCACGGGCTTACGGTCGGATAGTATAGTTGTCAACCTCCATTTGTGGAACGATGTATGGAAGGACATCGTAGTTCACAGGGTGATGGAACGCTCTAGAATTGGAGGTAGTGCCTGTACAACTTAGCCGGAACGTAATGCTGCGCGCCGTGCCTTAGACCTGCGAGTGGGCCGCGGGCACAGCGATCAGGAAGTCGTGAGAACCGCAACAGAGCGCCGGCCAGCTCACTTGCTCACTCGCACTCTGGAGACAAGAAGCAGAGATTGCTTCCCTGGGGCTCATGCTGGGTCAGCCCCACATTCCAAATCTGACTTTAGAGGCAGTATCACTGTGGAAAAAAAAATCTAGGAAATAAGATGGTTTATATAAAGCAAGTGTGGCTCAGGTCCGGATGTTGGGATAACTAGGATTCAGGGTCATTCTCGGCTACATCCCTACTTCCAGGCCAGCCCTGGCTACATGAGATCCTGTCACAAAAACAAAACAAGAGCTTCCTATGTGCACAACCCGTGATCACAGCACACTGAGGTAGAAGCCAGTGGATCTCTGTGAACTCAGAGCCAGCCTGGTCTACAGAGTGAAACTGTGTCAAAATCAATAAAAACAAGCGGAGGTTGACAGTGAGCTCACATGGGGTCACCGTGGATACCAGTCAAGGTAGGGTACCTGGAGGCAGGAGCCCACAGGCCAAGAGGCTGTCGATACCAGGTGGCCCAACTTCCCTACAGCATGTCCACCACACCCCACCGCCATTTCACACCTGACCAGTACTTCACAGCCTTCTGAGGAAACATAACCTTCATTCCAGACAGTTCTCCTGAGCCCCAGACTATGCTCAGGCCACAGTGGCCACTGGGTCAGGCGCTTCACGCAGGCGTGCAGGGTGTCCATGGTCTCCTCTGCACTGCACACTGGGTATTACCCAGCTCTAGACAGCGAGCCAGCCCTCACCATGACCCAGGGTCCCCTGGGGAGGTGGCATAGCAGCAATCTTCTGCCCTAAGGACCCTGCAGGTGCGAACTGACAGTTGGCTAGTTTGGCAGCAGTGCAGGAGGAGCAGAGGCTGGACAGTAACACCCACTGTATGGGCTGAGGTGTCAGACACCTCAAGGAACCTCCTGACACATGCACCCAGGGCCAGGTCTCCCCTCACTTCTGTGTCTTTCTACTTCAACCCCTTAGACAGGCAGACAAGCCACCAGTTCTTCCTTTTATCTTTCTGAGACAGAGCCTTGAGTAGCCCAGGTTGGCCTTTTACCCTGGTCATCTTGCCTCCCCAGTTCCATACACAGAGCCTTGGTGCCCTTGGTCTTCCAGGGCTGGGCAGCACAGCGGTCAGGGCAGAGCAAGACCCACACTTCTTCACTACGACTGCTCCTTTTGACCGTGCTGTGCACAGCCCCCATCACTGACAAGCCTCATTTTACCAGAGCGGTGGCTGCTGCTGAGGCAGGACTTCTACTGACGGCTGTCCATGCCTCAGGGCTTTCCTGGGGACAATTCTGGGGATTCCCTCCAATGCTGTCACCAAGCTGTGTCAAGCAGGAGCCGGGGCCACCACAGGGAGGTGTGAAGAGTCCTCTGAACCTTGCAGCTTTGGGGCTAGCCTCAAGAGACTATAGGAAGGAACAACCCTCTCAGCTGGGTGTCACCCCCAAAGGGGTGAAGAAGCCTCCAGGGGCCTGGACCAACAAGGTTCTGGAATTTTCTCTCATTTGTCTGGTCCTTAGGTTTTATTTGAGACATTGTCTCAGATTTGGCCTAAAACTCCACCTCCTGCTTCAGCCTCTGTTCCACTGGCTGACAGCTGTCAACCTCCCATGCCAGCCCGCTGTGGGCTCCATTCTCCAATGGTGTCCTGCACTCCCACCAAGGCTTGTAGACATGGAAGCAGAAGGTGCTCTGAAGCCCCTCACACGCCTATGTCCTCTTAGGAAGCAGGAGGGTTTTCTTGTCTTTCTTGAGACAGGGTTTCTCTGTCCTGGAACTTACTCTGGGACCAGGCTGGCCTTAAACTCAGGGATCTGCCTGCCTCTGCCTCTTGAGTGCTAGGATTAAAGGTGTGCGCCACCACCGCTGGTGCAAACACTTTCTACAAACTATGGGGATGGATAGAGTCCCAATAAAATCATCTGCCCTTTGTCAGAAACAAACATTCTCCAACACAGAGACAAAGGCTGGCGTAGCCTGTCACCCCCCCCCTCCCCAAAAACCTGTGGTCACCCACCGTCTAGGCGCCTCCTCTCAGGTCCTCTTAGTGGACTTCCAACAGCTGCTCAGAACTGGATGCCAGCACCTCAGGGTCCTCTTCTCTGGGCTGTCCCACTGACAGACACTTAGAACCTTCTGGAAGGATTCGAGGTAAGCTGAGACTGCTCTTCTAGCCCAGCACCCACAGGCTCCTCTTCCTCCCCTCTGAAAACAAAGCAAGAAAACGGAGCTCTAAGTTACACAGGTTTGACCCCTCCCAGACAAGGTTGCAGGGCTCAGGAGCCCAGGGTCACCCACTTCCTTCCGGAGGTTTCCACATCCGACCGTTGCCTTGGGGACAAGGCCTGAGCTGGTTCCATGTGCTTGCTCTGTGGCAGGGCAGCTCAAAACCTGAACAAAGTGCAGCCTCAAGGCCACCTCAACTTAGAAAGGGTCATTGGGAGTATCTTGGGACAGCGCTTGACTCTCCATGTCCACAACCAGCCCCCAACAAAGAGACAACAAAGCAGAAGTGAGGCCTCGCACCTCTGTTGCGATTCTGGTTACTGCTGACACTGTTTCTGAACCGTTATTGGAGTGGGACCACATCCTGGGGCCCTCAAGGGTGACCTCTCTGACAATGACCATTTTCTACAGGGCAGTAGGCACAGATCTATTTTGCAGATGAAGAAACCAGGATCAATTCTCCTCTTTTTGTTTTGGAGATGAGGTCTCAAAGTGTAGCCCAGGTTAGAACAAAACTTGATAGCTTCCCTAGAGTTTACTTGGACTTGTTTACAATGGCATACATTCCGGTTTTCTGATCTAAATACAGAAAGAAGAAAAAAACCCAAAGGGGTGGAGCCCTGCCTAGAATCCCCCTAGGGTGAGGCGCTGGGGGCGTGGTCAGGGTGGTGCTTGTCGGGCATGTGTTCAAGGGTTCTGCATGCCAGTCCCACCCAGGAAAGGAAAAGGAGAGGGAGGACTCTGCCATAGAATGGTCCTCAGAAACGGGAAACATGTCCTCTGTGGGACTCAACTGAACTGCACAGAATCCCCCTGCTCTAACAGTTCTTGCCTTTCTGGTTAAGACGGCTGAAGCAGGGCATTCTGAGAAAGCCAGGTCTGTTCCAGGGGACTCCTGGGAACTTCCCTCTGTGAAAGCATGCTTTCCGAGTGGAGGGGATTTCCACGGCCCAGCCAGGCCCGAGTGTTTCCATGGGCACTGGCTGCGGAGATGACCCACAGGGACTTTTCCGAGTATGGGTGTCCTGCAGGGAGTTCCCATGTGAGCCGGGCCACCCGACCTGCTGGAAAGCACGGTCACGTGCCGAGGGTCTGAACTGGCACTCTGTTCTGCTTTAGTTTTTAGCCAGCGTCTCATGTAGCCTGACGATCTTCCTGCCCCTCCCTCAAGCCCTAGGCTGATAGACTTGCCCCACCATGCCTGGCTTTTGAAGTGGAAGTTCGCAAGCTTTCCGAGATGAATAACAGGGTCTTGTGGGTTTCAACATGGAAGGGGAGGGTTAGAGGGAAGAGCCCATGAGGTGGGTCCTTGGTGAAGGCACTTGCCACTGCCTGAGAAACAGGGTACCCCAGGAATCGACATGGAGGAGGAGGCGGAGACTCGACTCTTCCCTTCCCCTTCTTTAACTTCCTCCATACAAAATAAATGAATAGATGGATTCAGGTGAACTTCTTTAAAGTCAAACCCCTCAGCATTGCGTCACGGAAGGAAGGAAGGAGAGAGGCTCACACTCCGTGAGCCTCAGATGACCCCCTGCTGGGAGGCCTAGGGCAGGACTGCGGACACCAGGCCCTTCTCCCAGTGAGCCCACAAGGAAGGCAGTGTCTGATACCCAGAGTGTGCCCTAAGGACAGCTGCAGACTCAGGTCATGAAGAGGTCACCTCTGTGACAGAGCCAGCACACCTCACACTCACTCAGCCTTGCTGCAAAGTGAAAACTCCTGCCATGGCGGCGCTCAGGAAGCTGACCCAGGCTTGTTTGCTCAAGGTAAGCCTGGGTCACAGGATGAGTCCATGCCGTCACATACTTCAGCAAGAGGCGCTGGTTCCATCACAGTGAACTTTATCACACCTGGGTGTAGTGTGCAGGAGTGTGCAGGAGCCTGGGTGTAGTGTGCAGGAGTGTGCAGGAGCCTGAGGCAGGAGTGTGGCTTGGCCTGAGAGCTCTGAGCCAACTTGGACCCCACAACAAGAATGTCTCTTTAAAAAGGAAAGACTGCCGGCTGGCAGTGAGGCTATGTCTTAGAAACTAACCCAACTATAGAGACCCAGGCACAGGCGCATGTGCCGAGGCCGCAGACCTGATCCAATCTGTGGGAACTCTCAGTGAGACAGACGTCCTGTCATCTACACATGAGCAAGCAGAACACACACATCACACAAACATGTACCAAGTAGTAAATAATTTTAGGTTTCTTTCTTTCTTTCTTTCTTTCTTTCTTTCTTTCTTTTTCTTTTTTTTTTTTTTTTGAGACAGGGTTTCTCTGTGTAGCTCTGGCTGTCTTAGAACTCACTCTGTAGACCAGGCTGGCCTCGAGCTCTGAGAGATCTGCCTCACGATTTGGAATTAAAGGTATGTGCCACCATGCTGGGACATAAAATACAATCTTTAAATAAAAAAAATAAGCCCCCTGGCAACGGGCAAAGAGACAACACGTTGATGGTGGTGTTTGTATGTCAGCCAAGGGCAGAGCTGACTGGACTCCTTTGTTCGTCCTAGCTTGATGCCTAGGACTCATGAAAAGCAAACCAAATCAGATCCAGGCCGCGAAGTGCAAAAGGAGGAAGGAAGACCTGCAGACTACCATGCCACCCACAGACCTGCCCTCCAGAGCATGGCACTGAAGCCATAGGCACCCACTTGCTGAAACACAGATGAAGGGTGTCACCCAGGGCCCGCCCTCAGCGTGGCCCACCTGCAGTGGGAGCCCCCACAATGCACCAGTGTATGGTGGTCAGATGCGGAGATAGAAGTGGAGCAGCCAAGCGCCGTGGACAGACAATAACCTAGAGACTGCGGTAGAGAAGTGCTGTAGGGGCCACACTGAGGTCCCAGCCCGAGGGCCACATCTGAGTCTGTGGCTATACAGTGGCAGGGGTTGGAGTCAATGTGTGTGGCTTATATTCCCACCGGGGACCATGTGGATGTCCTGGGGCTGTGCAGTCCTGGGGCCGTGCATCTCTCACCAGAGGCAGTACTTGGTAAAGCTTTGGTAGTGTGGGGCCTGAGCAGGCAGCACCGTGGAGCTGGCCCTGGTGGAAGAGGCGTGGGTGAGCCAGCCCCAAGTGCCTGAGTGTAGGAGAGCTTAGCCTGCCTGCCTTGAGGCACAGAGACGATGCCCCACCTCACCCTTGTGGCCGTTGGGAAAGCTACCCATAGGCTCGTGAGCTCTGGAGAGCTGGCCTGCCCTCCACTGCCACAAGGTGTTGTGGGTGCAGGGGTGATGGCTCCCCCTTGCCACCTGCAGTGGAGTGCTGGCCTTGGGGTCATGGGCACACAGGGAAGCCAGAAAGCAGCCTATGGCGACTGCTTCCTTGGTGGCCCTCTGTTCTCCCCCCAGCACCAAAAAGGACAAACACCGCTAACCAAAACAGTGACTCTCCTGCATCACACGTAAGAAACAGCTCATGCTGGGGGTGGAGAGAACAGTGCGTGAACACAGAGCACTGCCGCCAGGATGGGGTTCAGGGTCAGTTCTCACCCCTATATGGCATGTCACAGCCTCTGGAACCACAGTCCCCTGAGGATCTGATGGCCTCTGCGCCAGCCAAACACACACATGCAGGCGAGCACTCACACCTGTGTTTACATGGCACGGTCTCAGACTCACCACACAGGCACATAGAGAGAAAACACAAGGGTCAGGGGTCCCAAGGACCTCAGGATGGAAGGACCGCTGGCTCCTCCCAAGATGTCCTCCACTCTCCGGGTAAGCTTACTGTCATGCACGCGCACACGCACGCTAAGGAAACGTAGTAGTAATAACGCCGATGATGAAAACATCGATAGCTGGGCAGTGGTGAGAAACCAAAAAAACAAAGAAAGATAAAAAGAAGCCAGGCAGTGGTGGTGCACGCTTTTAGTTCCAGTGCCTGGAGGTGGAGGCAGACACATCTCTATGAGCTTGAGGCCTGCCTGGTCTACACAGCAAGCTCCAGCCCCATGCAAGTTGCAGCTCTATAGAGCCACACAGAGAGGGCTTGCTCAGCCCCTACCCCGCCTGATGGGAGTGGACGCCATGAAAGCCTCTAGAACTCCATGAGCGTCAAACACAGCTGTAAATTTTCTGGTAGACTCAAAAAAGAGATGAAACGTACAACATTCAGATTTTCGCTAATTTATGATGCACTTCTGCCCCAATAAACCCATTATAACTGTCTATACACATCCCTGCAGTTCTCGTTCTTGACAGGCTGAAACAGGAGAACTTGACACTGTCCTGGGCTACCGAGGGAATGACAAGCCAGCTTGGGTGCAGACACAGCACGACTGATTGTGTGTCAACATAAACTACAGAGAGGCTGGAGCCAGCCCCGTGCAGAAGCTGAACCGCGCCGGCAGCGCGGGCGGCCCAGCAGAGGTCTGGACTTCAGATCCCTGCGCTCACAGGCAGCTCACAATTGCATGGGACTCCTAAGCTGCGGGGAACCCGACGCCCTCTTCGACTGTGAGGCTCCTGTAGGCACGTGGCGCGCACACACGCGCACACACACGCGCGCACACACACACACACGCGCGCACACACACACGCGCACACACACACACACACACACACACACACACGCGCGCACACACACTAAAGACTACGTCCATCCTACGTCGAAGGCACGCCATCCATTGAACCTGAAGAACGCCCACCTGCCGGCCGCACACTGCGCTGCCCTACAGTGTCGTCCTGGTCTCAGGGGGACACGAAGGCCGGGGAGGGGGGCTCTGCTCAGTCCACGTCTCTGGTCGCAGACAGACAAAATTCAATTCGAACATACATTTCTATCACTTTCACTCCACCCTAACATTGGAAATTAATTCTACTTTGGGGGAGTGCTTATCTTTTTTCCCCCATACTGAGGGGGAATCCAGGCCCACACACTCCTAAATTAACTTTCTGATGCTGGGCCCTCCCTGGGGGATTCTAGGCAGGGGCTCCATCCTGGCCACGCCCCCAGCTCCCTCACTGGGGGATTCTAGGGGCTGGGTTCCACCCTGACCACCCCCCACCCCTTTTGGGGGGGGGGGGGGCTCTCTCTCTCTCCTTCTCCTTCCCTCTCTCTCTCACTTTAAAAAGATTTATTTATTTTATATGAGTACACTGTCCCTGTCTTCAGAAACACCAGAAGAGGGCATCGGATCCCATTACAGATGGTCGTGAGGCACCATGTGGTTGCTGGGAATTGAACTCAGGACCTCTGGAAGAGCAGTCAGTGCTCTTAACCGCTGAGCCCCCTTTTGCTCTTTTTGAGGTGAGATTTCACTGTGTCCCAGGTTGTCCTTGAACTTAAATGGCTCTGGAGTGAATGGAGAACCGACGGACACCAAGAAGCCCCAGGGGTGGAATTCTCAGCCTCGTCAGCTCCGCCGTTCACCGAGTTCTAATAACATGTCAGGGACGGGGCGGTTAGAACCTGGTTTCCGGAAGTTCTCGGAGCTGTGTTCCAGGTTATCTGCTCCTGCCTTTGTCAATGGATAAGTCTGTGGTCTCGTCTGCATCCCGCTGCGTCCAGCTAACATCTCTCCGAAGCCCCATCGCTTCCAGAGCTAGTAACTGCTTCCTCCATGCTGAAGGAAGCATGGCTGACCCGAAAGTCCTTACAGTCCTGTGTAGGGAACACACTGTCCCCGTGTCTCCTGACACTCCCACCCGCTCATCCTTGAGCTCCCAACTCTGCATAATGGTAGCAAATCAGAAACGAAAGTTACGAGGATACACGTAGGCTCTGGAGTAAGCAAAGACCTTTGCCCTGCCTTAACACTGCGCCAACCTCTGCTGTGACCGTACACCTTATTCTATGGAGCCTAGGGAAGAGGTGGAGGGAAGAGGGAAGAGAAAAGCAAAGGTATTGGGGCACGCCTTTAATCTCAGCGTTCAGGAGGCTGATCTCTCTGAGTTCCAGGACAGCCTGGGCTAAATAAAAAAGGAAAGGAAGGAAGGAAGGAAAGACGGAAAAGAGAAAAGAAACTGTGGCCTAAGTTTACTTTCTGTGATCTGTTTTTGAGTCTTCCCTATCCAACCTTTGACCCTTTTTTAGGGGAGGCCAGGGAGTGCTGAGAGAGCAGAAGTGGAGATAGAACCCAGGGCTTTCTACACACACAAGGCAGATGCTTCACTCCGGAGCAAGAGCCCAGACCTTCAATGAATTCTTATCAAAAACCTGGTAGTTTCAAACAAATGAGTCATCGGGATATAGGATGGAGGATCCGATCAGGCAGCTGGAGGCTAGCCTGGGCTATCTGGGACCTCAAATATTAGACATGCTTGTGGTCCATGACGCTCCCTTTCTCCCCCTTTTGGTAGACCCAGGTCCCCAGGCCCTCTGGGTCCCGCCGCTGAACACTGTCATCCTGAGGATGAAGTCCCGCCGCCCGCCTCGGCCCTCCGAGGACCCACCTGGCCTTCCGGAGCCGTCTCCCGCCTCGCCGAGCGTCGGGCCGCGCCCGCAGAGGGACACGCCCGCGGAGGGACACGCCGCAGACCCCGCCCAGGCCGCGCCCGCCAGCCGGATTTACTTCCCTTAAAGGGAAGGAGCCCGGATGGAGGCGTGGCGCCCGAGCTCCCAGGATTCCTGTATGAAAGGCGGGCACTGGCCGCAGGCCCCGCAGCGCTCCGCGCCCCTGGAGACCAAGACGGGCGCTGCTGATTGGCTGAAATCGTGCGGCTGAGGGGCGGGACGAGCACTCCCTCGCTGGCTCCGGAACGGGCGCCAGCCCGTAGCGCATGCGTGAGGCGCCGAAGGTAGGGTGGAGCCTGGAGCCGACTGGCATTACCAGTTGCCAATTATAACAGGTGTGGTGCGAAACCGGGGAGGAGCCAGATTCAGGAGCAGAGGCGGACCTGGGACAGAAGTTGGGGCGGTGGGTGTGGCGACAGGCTAGACAGGGGCGGGGCCAGGCAGGGGCGGAGTCAAACATGGGCAGTATCTGCATCATGGGCGGGGCATGTCTGAACGGGGCGGGGCAAAACCAGGCCGGGGGCGGGGATGGCGAGGCCGGGTCCACAGCGCGCGCCGTTGGTTGGTGCGGCGTGACGGGGCGTGGCGCGGGAGGCGCCGTTGGTTGGTGCGCGGCTGGAGGGCGCGGCGCTGGCGGCGCGGATGTTTGGGCAAGGCCGGCTAGGCCAGGCCATGGCCCCGCTGCTGTTCCTGGGCATGACAGCGGCGCTGGCCCGTGGCTGCCTGCAGTGCGACCCCCGTTTCTCGGAGAAGTTCTCCTTCTACCGTCACCACGTGAACCTCAAGTCCTGGTGGGTGGGTGACATCCCCGTGTCGGGGGTGCTGCTCTCCGAGTGGAGCAAGAACACGATGAAGGAGCTCCATCTGGCCATCCCCGCCGAGATCAGTGAGCGGCGGAGCCCGTCCCAGGGTCAGAAGAGCAGCAGGGACCCGGACAGGGCCACTCATATGCTTCCTTTTCCTCCTGCCCTCAGCCCGGAAGAAGCTAAATCAAGTGGCAGAAGCCGTGTACCAGAGGATGGACCAGCTGTACCAGGGGAAGATGTACTTCCCAGGTAAAGGGAGGAACTGAGGAGGGGCCGGTGAGAGCTGCCAGGCACTTGAGCTTGACCGGTCTGGTGTGACTCCCACATCAGGGTATTTCCCCAACGAGCTGCGGGCCATCTTCCGGGAACAAGTTCGCCTCATCCAGAACGCCATCATAGAGAGTGAGCAGTGGGTTCCACAGAGGGGATGATGCTCGTGGCAGCTGGCACTTCAGGGCTGGGGGCACAGGAAACAGGGCTCAGGAAGGAGTGGCTCTGCAGGAGGCTCTTTTGCAGAAATGGTTGCCTGCATGCACATCACCTCCTTATTTCTGTCAGTCTAGGCTCATGGTGGCACCTGGGAACATTGTAACTGCCCTTTCCCTTAGATTAGCCCCAATTTTCACTGGGGCCTCCCTGTGTTCCCTTCCTATGCCCATGAAAGTCTTGTAGCACATGCCTATAATCCCAGCACCCAGAAATGAGGGAACGAAGCAAAAGGATTGCCACAAGTGTCTAGGCAGCCTAGGCTACCTTCTCTGTGCCAGGGTATCCTGGGCTACAAAAACAGAAGTGGGGCTGAGGTGTTGAGCTCTGGGCCTTGTCAGAAGGCACTGTCCTGTTATGTCCTCCCCTCCCTACTCCTCCCCAGGCCGCATCGACTGTCAGCGTCACTGTGGTAAGTGAACTATGGTCCCGGCTGAGGGCCACAGTGGCAGTGGCCCAGGCTGGGGGGGGGGGCCCAGGGGAGCCCGGGGCTGCCTCTCATATATTGCAGGCATCTCCCAGTATGAGACCATCTCCTGCAGCAACTGCACAGACTCCCACGTCATCTGCTTTGGCTACTACTGCAAGTATGGCTCATGCAGCAATGCCACTGCCCCTGGGGCCCTGGGATCATCACCTATGCAGGGAAGGGGACCTGGGCCTTGGGGATACCCCATCACCAAGCCCCGTGTCCCCCCCAGGTCATCGGCACAGTGGGAGTCAGCCGTACAAGGCCTTCTAAAATACATGTGAGCTGGGTCTTATTGGGTACCAGGACATGGGGAGGGAGCACGAAGGGAGGCCACTTGGTCCCCTGACTCCAAACCTACTGTCATTGTAGAAGCACCTGGCATAAGTAAGTTCCTGCTGGAATTCAAGGTTGCGTGTGTGCCTTATGGCAAGAGTTCAAAGCTGGCAGAGCCTCTGGAGAACCTTGCCCACACCCTTTAAGGGTCTCCAAGCTCAGCTGGAGGAAGGGGGCAAACCATCCTGGCTGAAGGGTCTTCATGAAACACCTAGGTTTCCCTGAGTTGGTGGCAGACCTGGAGGGTCTAACTGGAGCCCCATTCTATTTCAGACAGGATGTAAAGATGAGGTAAGACCAGGCCTTCCACTGGAGAGGGGGGAGCGAGGTGGGGGAGTATGGCAGTGGGGAGAAGGATGAGGTGAGGAGGCATGTGGGTGAGTGGGCAGATGCTGGGTAGGGCTGTGTGCCTGAGGGCACACTGGCCATCTGTAGTCACACACGCCTGTGTGGTCAACGCACTGCCTGAACCATGCTGTGTTTCTTCTCTGCGGCCTCAACTTGGACGTGCAGAACCACTCCAGCCTTGTGAGTGATCTGGGGAATAAGGCTACAAAGAAGCAGGTGGCCTGTGGAAAGCATAGAACTCCAAAGTCAAGTGGCCTCTTTGCCATAGACCCCCCCACCCCCGCCCTATCAAGGCCTGTCATTGTGGGTATTCGGGAGGATCCATGACCTGCTGGCACACTTCAGGATTTAAGAACAGGCAGGGACTGGGTGTAGTAGTGCATTCCTATAATCCCAGGCTTCCAGGAGCCTGAGGCAGGAGGATTTCAGGGGCTAGCTTGGGCTATATTAATGGACCACGGGAGGCAGTCTAGGAAGGGAGGCAGGAGGGCACGTTCGGACAAAAGTCCTTAGAGCACCTCCTCCTCGTCCCCCAAAGCCTTTCACCGAACATAAAGTGTCTGGAACCTCAGCATCTGGTCAACCTGACCTTGGAAAATGCCTCTGAGTGTTTGACTCAGCACTGACTGGTGGCTGACAGCCCCCCAGCCTTGGCAGGTGCCAGGGCTCAACTGCACCGTGGCAGCCTATTCCTCTGGAGAGGCTAGCCGCTGCCTGCCTCAGGTCACCCCTCCCACTCTCATGGCTGGGCCAGGGCAGGGGAGGGCAGGGAGATGGGCTTATGTAAGATTGTGGGGAAACCCCCAGGGCAGGGCCCTCTGAGGTATTTTGATTAAAATGCCCTGACATTTCTCATGAAGGACAGTTCTTTACTGCCAGGAGATCCAGCTGGGTCGTTAACGTAGCTGGTGGCATACATTTCGCCTGAACATGATGTGCGTCTGGAGGGGTCCCAGCCTCCTGTTCACAGAGGGAGGGACCAGAAAACCTGGCTGGTACCTGCAGCATCTCCCTCAGGGTCTGAGGACTCTGAATTGATCCCAGTCCCCCTGGGTGACTATGGTAGGGTTGCAGAAGGGGTGTTCAGTTCTTTTTGAGGTAGGATGTGAAGTGTCCCAGTATGGCCTGGAGCATGCCATGGAGCAGATGACCTTCAATTCCTGAAGGTCCTGCCTCTATTTCCTCTTTGCTGGATGACAGGTGCGCCAGCAGGGCCTTCCTGCACTGAGCCCCAGTCTGTAGGTTGGCCTGGAATTCTCTTAGCCTCAGGATGGATGTTACGGTGGAGATAAAAGCTGGGGTAGGTTAGTGTGTGACTCAGGTCAGAGAGACAGGTGGACCACACTACAGAGAGCACCTAACAGCATGTGACGTGGCTTGACGGGGAGAAGTTGATGCAGGTGACCCAGGGGCTGTTTTTTTGTTTTGGTATCCTCCACTTCCATGTCCCCTGGCCCCACAGACAGGAAGGAATGAGTATCTGCATGCACATTCCTACAGTTCTTGCTCATGGGAGAGGCTGCAAGTTAGTTTTGTTTTTAACAAAGAATACACATGGCAGCATCCGGAGTCCCTCCTTCCTCCAGGGGGACGGGGACAGAGCAGTTTCAACAGGATGAATAGGGACATCGGGTATTGTGTTGGGAGCTCCAGCTGCACTCTGTGGCCAGCACGAACAGTAGCCACTGTACAGTTACTGTCACTGCTGAGGACTACCTCTGGGGGTCCTGGCCAGGGGTGGCAGTGGGAGGGGGTGCTGCATGGCCTCAGATGGGGCGCTTGCTGGACGAGGCCTTGGGCACAGCAGCATCTGGGGACTCTAGTTGCAGTTGAGAGCTTAGTTTACTTGAAAAGGAGCCTTCCCTTTCCCCCCATCAATGAAGGGGCACTGAGCTGCCTGAGGTGGAGCAAGGGCCCTTTTCAAGTCCACCTCGTCCCCTTCACAGCCCACAGGAGCAGTTAGGATGCTGGGGAGGCTGGGCGTGGAAAGGCGGCTCAGTGGTTAGGACTTGCAGAGGACCCAGGTTTTCCCATACAGGGTGCTTCACAACTACTTGGAGCTACAGTTCCAGGGAACTCAGAGCCCTCTTCTGGCACAAGGTACAGGCATTTTTTTTTTCTTTCAAGATAGGGTCTCTCTGTCACCCTGGCTGTCCTGGAACTCGCTCTATAGACCAGGTTGGCCTCAAACTCAGAGAATAACTTGCCTCTGGCTCCCAAGTGCTGGGATTAAAGGTGTGTGCACCATAGAATTTTTTTTTTAAAAAGAGGTAAGGGTCAGAATGTTTGCTGTACATGCCTAAGGACCTGTTTGAATTCTAGCATGGTGAGTGGAGACAGGTGGGAAGGGACTGTACAAGACGACTATCTTCTGGCGCTACACTCACAGCAAACTTACCCCCACACACAAGGCCCCACAGGTGGAAGTGTTGGGGGAACTCACCGACCTGTACCATCTGAGCTTCAGGAGCCTAAATGGCACACTGGGGACTGCTCTGGGGCACCATGGGGACACACAACACAGGAACCTGTTGTCTGACTCTTTAATGGGTCATCGTGACACCGATCGTCAGCGGCGTGATATATCTCTCTTCACATGGGAATGTCAACAGCAAATCAATCATGGAACATCATAGAGCTGGAAGGTCACATGGGGTCAGTCAGAGTACTCTACATGCTAAGGTGACAGTTGTCCTCAAAGGAACGCCAGAATGTCTGTAGACCACCATCACCTCTGAGGGAAGGCTCAGCTTGTGCCCAGCTACCCAGTTATAAGAAGTGTCCAGATTGGGGTCGCTTCACCTCGTCCAGGAACCTCATCCAGGAACCTGAGGAGCCCTGAAAGCCCCCAGGACACACCCCCTCCACTGCAAGGCCTTCAGCCCTCCACAGCTGCAGGGAGAAGCCCAGGATGTGTAGTGACAAACTGAGGGGCATACATTGTACTCCTCCACTGACCCCCACATCAGAACCCCAAGACAGACGATTCTGTTGAACAGAAGAAAATCAAAGGGCCATCCCTGTTGTCAGCAGCTAGGCTGTGGAACCACCCACAAGGACACTCCATCCATCTGGCCTCACAGGCTGTGGGGAGAGGAATTAACAGCTGGCCTGATCACCTCCCCACAGAGGCCACCAGTTGGGATATTTGAGGACAGCAGCAGCTTGGAAGGGTTCCTCCAGGGCAGCATCAGTGTGTTTGCTGTAACCCTGCAGTCCCCACAGCCACCGTTGAGAATGGGAAGTGGAGTAGCCCCTTGCTGGCTAGGGTCAGGATGGCCTTCCTTGCCAAAGGAGTGGGGGTTGGAATAAAGGATAATAAAATATGCAACATGGGACCTCAGGGTCACAGCGGAGGTCGGTGGTGTTAAATTAATGCTGGCTGTGGGGACAGTACACACGACAGGACTCAGGAGGGAAGACCCGTCACATCTTTGCGGCACATCCTGGACGCTGCCGTTCAGCACTGGGCCAGCGTGCTCTTCATCTCCTCCAGCAGGCTGCTGAGCAGCGTGGCGTCACTGCTCTTCCCGTCGATGGACACGGAGCTCTCGCCCTAGGGGACAGGCCCATGTACATACTGTCCGTGCGTGTGCGTGCGTGTGTCTGTGTGTGTGTGTGGCTGCAAATGCCCTCAGCTGGAGCCTAGACCTCACTTTCTTTTTTTGAAGCTATTTGCCCCAACTTGCCTGGGACTCAGTAACCCTGCCTGTCTCCAGAGTGCGGAGATGGAGGTGCATGGTGCACAGCCCTCCCAGGCCTGAGCCAGCTCTCAGCCCACCCTTTCCTTCCTAACCTAGATGCAGCTGGAGGGTCTGGTGCAACTGTAGCCTTTGGCTCAGTATGGGGAGGGCCTGGTGCAACTGTGGGAGACGGGCTGCATTCTTGGGGTGGGGATCTTGGAGGGCAGCCCTGGACAGGCAGGGAGGCATGAGCAGGGGAGAGGCAGCCTTTTGTTGAGAGTGTCCTGGGCAGTCGCAGAGCAGAAGCACTGCTGTGAGCTCACCTTCTTCACCAGCAGGCAGACGTGGTGGCCCTGGATAGAGCGGCTATACATGGAGGCACAGGAGTCTACTCGCTCCACAACTGCAACAGACAAGGCAGTCAGCTCCATGCTCCCTGGCAGGCCCTCTCCAGCCAGGACCACACGACACAGGAGCTGGGGCCCATGCTGAGAAGGCGCTCAGGGCTGCAGGCCTGGTGCAGGAAGGGACTGACTGGGGGTGGGAAGGTGGGATAAAACCAAGAGTGACATCACTGTGACACTGCTTACCGGAAAAATGGTGGTAGAAGCAGATCTTTGCCAGAAGATTCTGGAAAGACATACTAATGCCGTCGACTTTGATGGAGTTCATGCTCAGGTCTCCTGACTCCAGCAACTTGGCAAAGGCATCACTGTGGGGGACAGAGGAGGAGAGATGCAGGGCCTGGGGGTCAGCTGTCACCTGGCATTAGGAATGCTGAGGCACGAGGGCAGCACTCCAAGGCAGCCTGGGCTATGTCACAAACTGACAGGCATGCAGGGCAGTCCTCCGGGGACAGAGAGCCAAGCATCTGTAGTGTCACCTGGCAGAAGAGGTAGCCTCAGGTAGAGGAGGTAGGTGTGGCAGGATGGGGGTGGGGCCTGTGACGATGGCTAAGCACTCTCATGGTACCCCTCCTCACAGCCAACATGACCACGTTCCACATCACCCTGTCCTCCCCGAGCTGGCCGGTGTGTGGCGGGCCGGTGTGTGGCGGGGCAGAGGCACACACCTGTAGCAGGGTGTAGTGATCAGGTAGGAGCTACAGCTGAAATGCAGCCGAAAGTCCAACTTCTCGTGGGTTGCGCCTTCATCATCCTGCAAGGAGGAAAGCTGTGGGGTGACTTTCCAGGCAGGCACATTCTTTCCTGGGATGCCCGACATCCCCTGGGGTGGGGTGGGGTGTGGGTAGGGTGTGGGTGGGGAGGAAGTTGGACCGTACCTTGGCAATGAAGGACAGCGTGCCTTTGAGCTTCTGGGCCATGACAATGCTCTGAATGGTGAAGACAAACTGGGCCTCATTGGAGACGCCTGCGTGAGACACGGCAGTCAGTGGGCCAGCACTGACCCTGGGGTGTCTGTCCTAGCTGGCTGGGAGGCTGGAGTGACAGAAACAATGGGCACTGCTGCAGCCCAGCCCAACGTCCCAAGTGAAAGCCAGCACGTGTGACTCCACCATGCCCTGCGAGTAGCACCGAGACATGGGACATCAGAGCTTGGGGCCTTTCGCGTCAGCTGCCCTGGAGCTCTAGTTAAGTCCGTTGTGTGAGAGCCACGGAGACATATAGGGAAGAGTGAAGCTGGCTGGCACGGTGAAGGCAAGGTGGAAGGGCGGGCTCACCAGGGGGCAGCTGGAAAGGCACGGGCACACCGTCATGCACTGACGAGCCCTCCGGCCTGGTCATCTTGGTGTTGAGCGAGTCCAGCACGGTGAGCTCCATGTTCTTCAGGAAGCTGTTGCTCTGGTTCTCCAGGATGACGGACACAGTCACCTGGCTGTCCTTCTGTAAGCTGGCTTGGATATCGTATGTCTGCAAAAGCAAGGGCAGGGTCAAGGACCAGCTGAGGGGAGGGAGCTCACCGCCAAAATCAAGGACAGTGACCCCTGGAAAACTGCCTGTGGGCCCCTAGGCCCCAGCGCCCCCAAATGCACTCTTCAGGAAGCCACACCCCAGTTCCTTTGATCCCTTGAGACAAAGTCTTGTAATGTAGCACTGGTTGGTCTTGCTCTTGTCATCTCCCTGCCTCTGTCCCAAGGTGTTTGCTGCATATGCTGCACAGCTGCTCACTTGGGTCCTGCGAGCCAAGCTGTCCTCAGGTGGCCTGCTCATACCGGGCTCTCCGGCTGTGGCTCGGCTGCTGAGAGTGGGCCTACACTGATGCTTGAGCTTGGTGCCTGGCTGCCGCCGCCAGCCCCCCAAGGCTTCTGAGGATGGTTTGCTCTGCCAACTGCCTTCCCCACACCAACCAAGTGTCACTTACCACTTTAATGTAGGGGTTCTCAGCCAGAAGGCAGTAGCTGGACATGGGCTAGGAGAGGAGAGACACCCTCGTCAGTTGTGGTGACAGCGACTAGGCTACAGACCCATGCTTGAGGAACGACCTGCTCCCAAAAAGGAAGAGCCACCAGATGCTGCTGGATCATGGGTCCCTCAAAGCACAGGTCCCACCACAAAGCACAGCTTTGAGAGGCCCTGGGTCCTCTCCAAACAGAATTCCAGTGGCACTCTTGTGCTGGCAGGTTGTCAAGCATGCTCACCGGGATAGGCTCCTCCTCCTCCTCCTCCGCTGCCGCACCATTCTCCAGCGCCGCCATCTGCTTCTTCTTGGCTTTCTTCTTGTCTCGGGGCCTCTCCTCCTTCTCCTTCCTGTGTTTCTTCTTCTTGTGCCGGGACGATTTCTGAAGCAGAGTCCAGGCTCAGGCCTAGCCTCCCACAAGAGGCACCCTGCCATCATTCCCCCTTACATTACGTGGGGAGACCTCAGGGGAGCAGACAGGACAGCAAAGCCAGGAATCGCACAGGTAGGTCACCATGGTTGGAGGAGGCCAGGGTTGGCAGACACTAGAATCTCGGGGCTGGCAGTTGAGTGCAGGAGCTGCTCAGAGGGAAGGGGCTACCCTACTGCACAGGTGAGGGAGACTCACTGCACTCAGAGGGAAGGACAGCCCTACTGGCCACACCACAGAGGAAGAAATACTCAGAGGGGTGCTTGCATTCACATTATCCAGGAGCAAATGGACTAGCACTAAAGATGGCTGATAGACGTGAGGTCCACTCCCACACAGGAGCAAACATGGCCACGATCAGGAGCAAGGCTCCAACACAGCACACATGGAAGCTTCAACATGGGGCTTGGGGCTGGGTTGATGAGCTAGTGGTTAAGAGTGCTTGCTGTTGAATCCCAAGAACCTTAGATCCCATGCCACATACAACTAAAGTAATCTTTAAAAAAACAAAATAAGCCGGGCAGTGGTGGCACACGTCTTTAATCCCAGCACTTAGGAGGCAGAGACAGGCGGATTTCTGAGTTCAAGAGTTCGAGGCTAGCCTGGTCTACAGAGTGAGTTCCAGGACAGCCAGGGCTACACAGAGAAACCCTGTCTCAAAAAACAAACAAACAAACAAACAAACAAACAAACAAAAGAATGTCCTCAATGAGAGGCAGATGTCAGAGGCCACTCTGTGGGACTCCATGACAAGCACTGTCCAGAACAGGGACATCCAAAGACAGCAAGTCAATTCGAAATGACTGGTTTAGGAGGGTATGTGGCAGACTGCTTACAAGTTGAGGCTCTCTTCTAGGGTGATGGAAGGTTCTGAAAAGAGATGGTGTCCTGGTGTGCAACACTGAAGCACTAGGTCCCTCTCAGAGGCCAAAGCATAGGACTGTAGCTCCCTCCTAAGGACACCACTGCTCTGACCCTGTGAGCACACCTACTGTCCTGATCACTGCTGATCCTGTGAGCATGCCTACTGTCCTGATCACTGCTGACCCTGTGAGCATGCCTACTGTCCTGGGGTTCAAGCACAGGCTTGCCAGGGGCCCACTGTCACAGAGTGGGGGTGGCTTGTCTCGTGCCTCACCCTTTCTTGGTCATGATCCACGTTGTCCTCCTCGTCCTGGGGTTCTTCCCCTTTGAGAACCTCACATTCATCCTTAGGGGGGACGACAATGCTCGCAGCGAGTTCTTCCTGCAGTCAGGAAGGTCAGGGTCAGTTTTCGGGGAGAGGTGAAGTGGTACTGGTACTCCTGAAGGTTCAGGGGTTCCAGCAGTAAGGGAACCCTGAATCTTACTTAACCAGTGCTGTTCCCACTTGAGGACTGGGGACATTCTCCAAGGGCAACCTTGGGGACAAATGCCCTGCTGGCTACCCCTCTGTGTCATTGAGCCCTGTCAGGCAGAGAGTTCCACAAGACAGCAGACACAGACCACCAAGTACAGAAGGCCAGCCCACCAGGCTGGACTACAATGGCACTTGTGTGTGGCTCTAGGGGAATGTACAGGTGAGACCCTGAGGACACATGGAGCAGGCACTCACCGTGGATGGGACAGGAATGGGGGCAGCAGCAGCAGCAGCAGGTGGTGGTGGGGTGGTGGACAGCCAGAAGTCTAAGTCCTCACCCTAAAGCCACAAGAAGAACACTTCTGGTGAAGACAGGGAGTGCCAGGAGCAAGGGCTGCCAAGTGGCCACTCTCACCTCCCCAGCACAGGCCAGGCCTGAGCGCTGTGCAGCAGCCCTGGAGCGTCCCGGCTGTGCTCCCACAGGTGCTTGGTTGCACCACAGTGACCAGCCATGCGGAGGACAGCTAATGACTGGAGGGGCAAAGC